GGCCTCGGAGGTTTCTCCCTCAGTGACCGTAGACAGAGAGAATCAGACCCGAAACCGAGCCGCCCTCCCTTCCTCCTTCTTTACACCTTCGCCTTCGAGCCTCAGCTAAGCCCGGGTAAAGCTCCAAGCATCACCCACCCAGCGCCTCAGCGCTCACCCAGCCTGGCTTTACCGAAAGGGATTTTTCAAATCTGTTGGGAAAAAAGTTTGTACCAGACTCCTCTCATCAACGAGGCCCGCAGAGCTGGTTTTGCATCACCTAAAATACTCACTGGCGCTGTTAAGGTTGCTCAGGCCACCGAGGAAGGTCTAAGGAAGGGGGTTGGTTATTGTACGAACAACCCCTTTACTGCAGAGATACTGAATTGGGCGCAGCTGATGTCTCATCATCAATACTAGGAGAACCCTACACACAATGAAAACAACCACTGAAGGGAGCCTTGGTGGTTGCTGCAACATTTGCAAATCCTTTTCTTCGAGCCACGCTCCTCAGCGCTCACAGGTGTTGTTTCTCCCCCACTATTAAAAAAAAAAAAACTTAAAAAAAATCTTAATTTAAGAATGAAGTCAATACATTCATGGCTGGAAGCAACACTTCTCACATCTTTAAGCAGCTGAGCGACCGAGTCATTTGAAAAAAAAGCCAGAATCGAGTTAGCAACACTAGCCATGAACCACAGAAAGCGCAGTGAAGCAGCCGAGGTCGTAGTTTCACATGCGTGTTTTCCCTGTGCGCTGCTTCTTGATCGCAGTCCGACGGGCACAGGTGTTTCACACTGTCAGTCTTTCCACCAGAGACAATGAGAACAGAAGCCTCCCGCACACACAAAACCAAACCCACGCATGCAGATACCGGCAGGAGCTCCTCTTACAACCTCTGCACGCTAATAATGAGAGAGGCAGACAGGAAAACAGACAGTTCTACAAAAGAATTTATTCCAAAAGTTGTGATAAAAAAAATATTTCAGACTGTTAAAAAATGCAGGCTATAAACACGTGGTAAGGTAATACATTCATGTCAAGGCTGGGGTTGGCAGGGAGGGATCCCCGCGCCTCCGTGCTCCAACCGAGAGCTGCCGGGACGCCTCCACCCTGAGCCGATGCTTTCCTCCGTTTACAAGAAGGGACCCAAAGCCAAGCACAGCTCTGGGGGTGGTCACTCGGAGAAAGCTGGTTTCAGACATCCCGAGTAGGTGCCACAACAGTTCAAGTCGACAGAAGAGGGGGGATTTAAAGCCCACCCTTAATTTCACGTTGGAGAGCAGAATTTTGCTTGCATATTTAGGCACTTGACTTCCAGAGTTTTGTTGAAAAGCATTTTCACCGTCCCCACAGTCTATGACCTCAGGTGTACACACGAAAAACAAGGATTTTTACCAACACTGGACAGAAGCTCTCATCTTTATCAGACGTAGGCTACTCGTATACCAAGCACGGAGTGTAGTCAAACACTGCAGTTTATTTTAACCTACTTCCAAAACCAGAATAAACGTGAAAAAACCCCAACCCTTAGAGACTACACTGAGGTCCTGCAGATGGCCCATCTCCACAAGAGGAGAGCGCAGGGTCAGGAGTACCAGCCGGAATGGAATCACACGGCTACAGCACGAGAGCCAGAATGGTTTAAAGCCTTAAACACAAACCAACCCTCGGACATACTGAAAACATCCCATCGCTGTCAAGTGTCGTGCTGCAGAAGGCTCTGCCAAGGAAGGGTTTGCCTTTGCCTGGTCATTGTAAAGTGATGACAGGCCACCTTGGCCAGTAGCAGCCTGCAGCTGGCGAGCAGCGTACGAGAGGAATACAGCACGGTACGCTGCGTCAAGAAATGAGAACCTTCCCATGGTGAAACAGTTTAAAATGCATTTGACTCCACAAACAATTGGGAACGTAAACCCGGCCATCTGCTTTGAGTGCAGCGTTTCCAAGAGTCCCTCAGGTGCGGATCCTTCCCTGCTCCAGGACTTCTCTGCTGACCTACCGGGACGAGGTTTGCTCCTTATCACCATTCCTCAGCCACCTTTTCTGACAGCCCACGTGGCGCTGCTACAGCAGTTTACATTCCTTTCCCAGTACTAATGAGAATTTAAAGTGCATCTCAAATCAGAAATCTCTAACGAACGTAGGAGAACGCTATGCTAAGCCTTGGGGAAGTGTATTTGCCAACTGAAATCCCCGCGACACCGAGCGCCTTCTGCTTTACTAGCAGGACAAAGTTCAGACAACGAAGAGGCTTCTTGCAATTAAGCACAGCTACAGATTTGGCCAGATTTGGGGTGTTTTTGGAGCTGCACGCACATACACACAGGGCAGAATTTATCCTACAGAGAAACATTTAATTTGGTAAATGAGTTTAAGCTTTTTTTGTAAGTGAATTTACGCTTTTAGTTCAGAACAGTTTTTCAACACCCAATCCTTTTCCTAACCGTCTTTCCCAATTCACCCGCCGCAGAAACACTACGAAAAGCAGATTTTTAAGTTTCTAAGAAGTGTTTTTCCTAGGAAGGAAAAAAAATCCCATCTGTTCTACAACTGCAGCTTAAATATCTGCAGGTAAATGTGAAGTCTTAAATACACTGGATTAAAAACGAAACCTTTGCTGGTATAAAGCCATGATCTTTTGAAGAAAAAGCTCCCTAAAGAACATAAAATGAAACAGCTCCAGAGACACTCAACTAAAAAAAAGACTAATTCCTCCCTAGAAACAGTAAATAGCACAGATTGTTTCCTCTGATTTTGCTAGTTTGAAAACGGTTTTTTTAACCCTCGTAAGACATCACAGAGAGCTTCAGTCCCATTCGGCTGAACGGGCAAAAGTCACTACGTTCACTGGGGCTGAAGAGAACGTGACCTTAAAGGCAAGAAGCAATTGTCACTGGAGCTAGTACGGGGCTCCTGCTGCTCCGACTGGAGCTCCGGGGGGAGCGGGGGTGCCCCGGGGTCTCCGGGCCCTGGGAGGGTGGCCGAGAAAACAGCGCTCTCCGCGTGCCCCATCTCCGCCACCGGCAGATTCATCGAGTGGAGAGAGACGGCGGACACGAACGCGGCGGTGCTATAATCTTCTTCCGGGTGATGGATCGGGGTCGATTCCTGGTCTTTCGTTTTATCCAAAAAATTAGACTCGTCGGAGTATGACCTAGAAAGATTGTTCGTTCCTCCGTACAGCGAGGTCATGCACGTGCTGCAGCTGAGACCTACGGCAGAACACAGAGACTGGGTTGAATGACGACCTGGCGGCTGCGGCGCTTAAAACCGCTCTGATTTGCTACCAGTAAACGGCCAAAGACCAGTTGTCTGTATTTTTAACGGACGAACCCCTTCACCTCACCTTTGTCTGCATTTTGAACCCCTTCACCTCACCGCCATCCCTCGGGACACCGTGAAACGCGCACGCCGTTATCTAGGCCGACGGGAGGGGTTCCTCCGTCTCTCCGCGTCAGCTACCGCTCGACAAAGACGCTCCACATTCCAAGTGTCACTTCAGGAGGTCGCCCCGGGCCTCTGGCCCGTCTTTTGACGGGTCTCTCCCACTGCGCTCTCCAAACTTTTAAAAAGCTTCAGCTGCGCGGCTCTACTCCGCAGCGGACCGCACTGCGGGCTGTTTCATGACGCCAGAGAAAACTTGAGGCCTTGCACCTCTTCTGCCTTTATCTCTCCTTGGATGGGTGTGGAAGGGGAAGTAACGTTTTTGGCTCAGAAGGATCACACTTTATTTATCTCCCTTAAAACACTTACGGTCCCTTCCAGCCTCACGCGTATGAAACAACCCGCGCGTGCGCTCCCGGCGCCTACCGTTAAGCTCTGGCACTGAAGGCGCACGGGAGAGCTCCCCGCAGGCTGCGCTCGCTGCCTCCTGCCGGGGCGCAGAGTTTACCGAAACCAGAGCCTCCTGCCCCTGCAGGGAAGGGCTTCAAGAGAAACGCACGATGGCAGACAACCGCGCCTTTCAGTTCTGA